GTATCTGTTCCTGGATCATGACACAGGAGCTAAATGCATGCCCCTTTTTTTTCTGAAATTACTGGAAAACTCAAATGAAGTACAGAGGCATTTAAACCGCATAGTTTAATCTGGCTAGATTAGACTAGGTTTGATCCATACCACCCTAAAAGTACACTACAGTCTAACAGACAAGTCTGGCTATATAACATTTCTAATTGAAAAACTGTCAAAAATGCAGAGCAAGATGCTGCCATAATCTCATTGTCATACTCTCTATTTCTTTAAAATAAAGGCAGAAAAAAATATCTCTTTCAGTTATATAACAGACTGTTTGACCTTACAACAATCTTTTTCTCGTTCCTGAGGTTATCTGAAAGTTGGAGTTTATTTACACCACCAGAAAAAGAAGGTTGAAAATATCAAACCATCTTGAATATGATGGGGAAGAAAAGTCAGTGAGGTTAGAGGGGCCATCCAGTCTGGCTGACAGCGGTTTACCACATCGGAACAGCAACACTAGTTGGACTTAAAGATACTATACCTTGAATATGCAATGCTATATATTAGAACAATCATTCTGTACTTGATTTTGGTAATAAAAGTATTGTAAGTCTGCTGTAGCAACTGCAAGAATTTCACAGGTGAAAAAGCTGTTTTTCTATCAGGGAAAAGAAGGATTAGTCAGAAGGATCCATGCTACAGTCCAGGGAATTATCATGGATTCATTCAAATGACTCTAGACTGGTGGCTGAAAAGTGAAAGGGAGCAGAGATGTGTTGATAGGGTTGAAAGGAGGATTGTTATCTAGACTGATACAACCATTTATACTTGTAGGTTTTATTTCATGCAAACCAGACACTTGATTTCAGAGAGCAATTACTGGAGACAAATGATGGAATTATGCTTACATGAACATAGGGAAATGTAAGAGAAAGGATACAAGTGGGATAATAGTAAAAATATGTGCATGAGTTTCAGAGGAGCGATAAGGAAACAAGCAGTCTGGTATCCCCCAAGGCAAAGCTAAACACCTTTAGAAAGATCATGGGAAATACCTCATCCACAGTTAATCTCAAGGCAGTATTCCTTTAATGCTCATATAGCTCCTTTTGTTGATTTACCAAAATAAGCAAGGAGCATTTAGTAGAACTAAATGATGGGCTTTATGTGATGATTTCATCTTCCTTTAGAGTGTTTACAACAAAAATTAAAAAAAACCCCACCAATAATAAAGGAGTGCTGTGTATACCAAATATATATGGGAGTGAGATGCATCACAAGAGACTTATGTCTCTCCAAGTGTGAAACTGAAAGCACTAAGTTCCTCAATACTTACAAGAAAAATATATCTGTGATAGTTGATCCTGGGCCAGCAGCTAAGCATACATACTGCAACTCACTCCCCCCACCCTCTCCAGCAGGACAGCAGGGAAAATAAGAAGGAGCAAGAAAACTCATGGGTTGGAATAAAGACAGTTTAATAAACAATGGGAAGAGGAAAAAAAACCTCAACAAATGCACAAAACAAGTGATGCAAAGGCAACCATTCACCGCCTCTCACAAGCAGAATTATGTCCTCTCCCAAATTCTTGCCCACCCCTGGCCTATTCTTTGAGTGGGAGCATAGTAGGAAAAAGAAAGCCTTGATGTTGTCCAAGCACTGCTTGGCAATGAACAAAACACTGGTGTGTCATTACCATTGTTTTTTAATCACAAACATGGTCTGCTATGAAGAAAATCAACTCCATCTCAGCCAGATGAAGTACAATATCAGAAGATTGTTTCACTTCACAGACTTGTCAAAATGTACAAGCTACTGTTTTAGGAACAGGAAACCCTTGGGATGGCTCCATCTAACGCACACAATGTACAGAACAGGAGTGAAACTGCTTCGAATTATCAGGGTGATAACTGACCTCAGAGGTTTAAATGTATTTTCCTCCACTTATCCTTTAACATCTTGGTTGGTGCCATGGATAGTGTGATTGAGTGCATCTCAGGAAGTTTGTGGATGACATCAAGCTGTGTGGTGTGGTCATCATGCTGGACAGAAGGGAGGCCATCCAGAGGGAACTTGACAGGATTGAGAGGTGGGCCCATGCCAACCTCATGAAGTTCAACAAGGCCAAGTTCAAATTCCTGCACTTCGGTCAGGGCAATCCCAAGCACAAATACAGGTGGGGCAGAGTATGGATGGACAGCAGTCTTGAGGAGAAACGTGCGGGGGTGCTGATTGATGAAAAGCTCAACACGAGCCAACAATGTGTAAGTGTGGCCCAGAAAGCCAAACGTATGCTTGGCTGCATCAAAAGAAGCGTGGTCAGCAGGTAAAGGAGGTGATTCTACCCCTCTACTCCATTCCTGTGAGACTCCACCTGGAGTACTGCATACAGCTCTGGAGTCCCTAGTACAAGAGGGACCTGTTGGAGTGGGTCCAGAGGAGGGCCACAAAGATGATCAGAGAGCTGGAACACACCTCTCCTATGAGGACAGGCTGGGAGAGTTTGGGTTGTTCAGCCTGGAGAAATCTCATTGAAGCCTTCCAGTATCTGAAGGGAGCCTACAAGAAAGATGGGGAGGGGCTTTTTACAAGGGCTTGTACTGATAGGATGAGGTGTAATGGCTTTAAACTGGATGAGGGTAGATTTAGATTAGAAATTAGGAAGCAATTTTTCTCTGTAAGGGTGGTGAGTCACTGGAACAGGTTGCCCAGGGAGGTTGTAGATGCTCCATCACTGGACGTGTTCAAGACTAGGCTGGATGGGGCTTCGAGCAACCTCGTTTAGTAGAAGGTGTCCCTGCCCATGGCAAGGGTGTCAGAACTAGATGATCTTTAAGGTCCTTTCCAACACAAACCATTCTACGATTCTATGAAATTTAAGAACATAGATGATAAATTGATGATGAGTTGATGTCTAAATGTGCACACAGAGTTTTGTTCAGCTAATTCACAGAAGAATTTCTAAGCCTTGAATAGTTGGAGACCTGTGATAGATTGGAAAAAGTTGGACCACGTAAACTAATCACTTGAAGTAGGAAGGAAGAATGCAGTGGAGGAAGTGATGAGAGACTAAATAAAATAGAACTAAGAGTTCAGACAAAGACTGCGGAAGAAACGAAAACTTTTCTGGACAATTTATTATTCTTCACCTGTGATGCTTTAACACAAAGTCTGGGAGAGGAGTTGCCAACTGATTTAGGAGACTAATTGCTCTAAGTTAAAGCACTATTACTGTCATAGTAGAAAAATAATGTTTTTCAGGTCATTTTCAGGAAACAGGTAACAAATCTGGCATAGATCAGGAAAGGTATACACATAAATTTCTGGTACTTCCTTTTAGGAGGTGACCTGTATAGTTGATGCTTCAATAGAAATTCCAATTCTCTCATTATCGAGAACTAGAAGTAAATAAATATAGGGCAACCCATGAAGAAAATGAAAAACAACAATAGTGAATGAACTCGTGTTCTCATACACATAGAGAACTGTGGACTACTGAGATCTAATCTACTGGTCGATTTGAGGCAGACCATCCACATGGAATGGTCTCCTGAAAAAAAGCTGTTCCACGCTGCAATGCGTTAAACCTTTCCCAAGCACATTATTTATCAAAGCTTTATTAAACTTCACTTTTGCTTTCATCTTTCCTGAAGTCCAGGAAAATTACCTCTGACATTGTATTCCACGGCTACTTTCTTAGCAATTACTTAGGTCTCTGAGATGCAAAAAGATTCTACAATCAAAAATATAATATTTTGTACCATGTACTTTGCTAAATCTCTTGTCAATACAAATTTCTATATGACAACGATATGGAGCACAGTCATGATGATTGTGCACTATGCTATAATTTGTAAAGAAAAAGGAGTATTAATTGACAATATTAGAATCTGGGAATATATAAATGTTCTATTAGAGATACAGAATGAAACATAGTACCTTAAAAATTAATTCAAGTAACACGAAGCTTAGCCTCTGTATTAGCTGCTTGATGCTAACTGAATTCCCAAGATACAACAGATTACAGAAACTTATTTGTAGGAGACATTTATTGTCCTTTTTTACTTGATCTTGGGTAATCACCATGCATGCCATTAATCTCAAGAAGGACTTCCATATCTCCACACAAAGAATTCTTATAGAGCCAAGACTCCAGAGCAGAATATTAGATAGAGTTAGCTAACCCAGTGTTTCCCATTTTAGATTACAAACCTTAATTTATCTGTTCCAGCTTTGTACCTGGAGATGCGGGCCATTGAGAGAGGGACTGATAGGGCGTCCAGCCAGCGCTTCTCGTATTTTGGTTCATTAGCTATGGGTGACGAAGGCGACGACGGAGCCTGTGCAGAATAAATGAGAATCAGTAAGTGCAGTTTATCAGACAATATAGTGAAAAACTCATGAATATGCATCTCTGGCTCTTCTTTCTCAGAAGTGAATAATCATAGCAATAAAACTATTCGACAAACCCAGGATTTAGTAGAGGAATAAAAAGAAGAATTCATGTAGAATGGAATGCTACCTATCTTGATATTATGTTTCTGACAATTTCAGTATTACCTTCATGTTAAAGATATTTATATTTTTGTTAATATTTATAACTGACAATAAAAATGAAATAACTTATAGATGCAAATGTCTGCAAGTTTCTCTAAATGCAACATAAAATACATTTTTGATTTAAACTAATTTGTTCTGTATAACTCCTACATGCTTCAATCATCAGAAAAAAAGACACAACTAATATCCTAATGTAAAGACTACATTAGACACTACTGGTTTCTTATTTGTGCACTGGGACTTTTATCCACATTATCTAAGAGTAGATTTAAAATTCTGATTTCCGTGTTATCTCTTCATATATGGACTGATGAATTTTGAAGTTTCATTTTTGAAGTCTGCCTTCAAATGGTTCTACTAGAAAGGCAAGATTGTTCTATGATTCTATGATTGTTGATACTATCAAAGCAGTAAAGGACGTTCAGACATCACAACAGTGAAAATACATAACTTTATAATCTATTGATTATGATTGCTATTGATAAAAGGGTCTACTCAAACCTAACCTAGAGTTTACATAGAGACTACTCAGCCTGCTCTTGTATGTAGCATCTCCTGTATTGCAACTAGACAGTGCATGAAGACAGCAGGAACGAAACATGAGAAAAAGAAAATATTTAAGAAATTTTAAAAGCTGTCACCGAACTACTAGTACTAAAACATTCAGGAAAATGCAGAGAGATACTTATCTTACTCTGTATAAACTTGCCAAATATGCAGTTTGTTCCTTATGAAATATTATCCAGAGGTTTACTTCATTGTAACAGTGATTGAAAGTGCAGAATTATGCTCAAATTGTCAAAAAATGTGGTAACCAGTTTTGTTTGGCAATGACTTAAAAATATGTGTTTACAGGCAAAAATCAATTAGAAAGTGCTGGAAACCACTGCTCAGCATACCAATTGAGATTTATGAGCAGGATTATGAGCTTAAAAAAATGATTATTAAATAAACAATAGGATGAACTAGGAGTTTCTTATAGAATAAAATGGATAAATTTAAAAGTTTTTATTGGTATTTATATCTCCACACTACTATGACAGCTGAGCTTTTCAGTCTTTTATAACGATAGCAACACGATTTACAGACAGGCAGCTGAGAAAGAGTCACAGACAGAGATATGTTTGTGCTGTCTCTGAACCAAACTTACTTGTCCCATGTTGTAGAAAGAACTTTCTGGTAGAGTTGAAAGCTAGTTATTTTTATAGAAGCTGTAAATACGCACTGAGTAGCACTTATAAAAGCAAATAAACCACAGAATGACCCAACTTCAGCTCTCTTATGCCCAGGTGTTCAAAAGGCATAAAATTTACTCAAAATAAAGAGCATTCTGGGAATTGTTCTATTTCTTTTTCTTGCTCTTAAGGACTTAGGAATCTTAGGATTTAGAGTTAATTCTCCCCCCTTTTCCACCACCCACTCCTCTCCTGCAGGTTCCTTCTTACAGTGAGCAATGGCTGATCTTTCTACTTAAATAAATGAAAATTGTGAGTTTAACATCCTAAAAGGACTACTGAGAGTTAGTGATTGAGGGATACTTTTCTAGTAAATGAAAAATTTGTAAGGAAATTGCCAGAGCTGGTAACACTAAAGAATCTTTTAGACAGAAATCTCTTTAGGGAAAGGAATTTCATTTAAAGTATTTGCAATTCCTAGAACAATCCAGCTTTCATTTGATTGAGATCTCCTGGTGTTGTTGCAGTATGAATATTTCATAATAAAGTCCACAGACTAATTCCATTTCATAGAATTAGCCACAGAAGGCTAAAGTGTCTCCAAAGTTTAGTATAAATTTAATACAGTGAAGAATCTAATGCAAATTTTAGAATTCTGTGTAAATTAAAATAATTGACAGAACAAAATGCAATCTGAAGTTGAAAATTATTAACATAACCTAATGTGCCTGTCTGGAAACTGGAATATCTACGAATAAAGCAGAAGGTAGCTTATTACAGTCAAACATAAATGCTTGAATATGATCACTGAATTTAAATCCAAGAATCAGAACATAAAGGAACATAAAAATTCCTGCAGCACCGTCACCAGTTGTTCTCATTCTCTCAACTCTCAAGATACAGAAAACATCTAGACAATTTAAACATTAAAATCTGTCTTTCTCTTGTACTTCTTTTACCAGGCTATTGAACAATATTCTGTGATAGTCTAGGCGATATAAGGGAAAATTTGTAGTAAAAAATTAATGAGTGGGTCACTCTGGCAATTTAGTGCTTCCATTTGGTCCTTTATCCTTCAATCAAATGCTTAGTAAGATACCAGTGTAAAGAAAAGATATCTAAATGTATGTAAAGATCAGAATTTTAGAAAATCTATATGACATGAACTGAAAGGGGAAATAATGGCCAAACCTACTTAGCTAAAAACTATTAACCCCAAAATTATGATACTACAGTGTAGAAATATACCTGACAATATGCTGAACTGATGTAAACTCCTAAAGAAAATGTGGCTTTTTCAGACAATCTCCAAGTTTTGATAATTGAAAAATGCACTGTAAGGAGTAATTTAGTTATTTCCTGTAGTTCTGGACTACCTGCATCTGCAGAAACCCTACTGCACTATGAGAACATTAGTGACCAAGAACAGGGAAAGGACACAAAGGGTTCAAACTGGTCCAAAATTCAAACACCTGTTTCTTACTAAGCCATATTCGACTAATCAGTTTATGGTGGAGAAAAAGTCTGACTGACTCCTCTTTACCTTCTTAAGGACGAAAGAGGTCGGTCATACATATGGCCTTTCTACCATTGCATAGAAACAAAACACAACCAGAGGATAAGTAGTTCTCTTTTTTCTGTTTGCCCTATAGTCTATTAACACTTCAATCTGAGACAGATCCTTTGGTGTATCCCCTTCAAAACGCATGGATAAAAATAACAATCCGGGAAAGAAGGAAGTCAATACAACTTCTGCAAACAGAGTTCACACCTCAAAAATCTTTTAGATTTGTCCAAAACTGTTAATTAATGTGAAAGAAGCAATTGCTAAGGTGTATTTGGGTTTCCAAAAACCTTTTGTCCCTCACAAAAGGTTGTTAGTTAATTCATTTATTGCGAAATAAGGTAAAATCCTCACAGAAATTAATAATTAACTAAAATACAGCGAGCAACAGATAGCAGTTAAGAACTGCTTTTCACTGCGGAGGGGCACTACCCGTAGACTCCCATGGTTATATATGCTATTCAGTATACTGATTAATGATCTGGACAAGACAGTAAACACCAGACTGACCAAGTTATTTACACACAGCAAGTAATGCAGAATGGTAGAAAGAATACCAAACTCCAAACAGCTCCACAAGAACCTCATGATATACTGAATGATTGAGAGAGAAAAGGATTGCTAAACATATAGTAGATAAATGTATAGTAATGCACATGAGGAAAGACAATATTAACTTCCCCATCCTGTAATAGGACATGAAAAAGTGATTAATACTCAAAAATAAGATCTTGCTGTTGAGGGAAAAGCAGATGCTGAAAGGAATGGAATCATCTTCATGCAAATAACAATTAAGTAAACAAAGATTCATTAGTCTGGAAAAGAAGCAGCTGAGGGAATTCTATGACAAAGGGATGTAAAAAATATAAATTCCAGATAAAGGGATTAGGAAACAGTGATTCACTTGCCCTTTTCATATGAGAAACAGGGTTATCAATTAGAAGTAAAAGACAGAAGGCTAAAAATAAAGGGAGAATGTATTTCTCTATATAACAAACTCTGGCTCAGGAAGCCCTGAAACCAAATCATTGGAGGTGCAGGAAACATACTCCATAAATAATTTTACATATTCCCTCTGGTTTTGTATTCTCTTGAGGGTGTCTGCTAGGAACAAGCTATGTAGCTAGATGGTCCTTTGGTCTGACCCAGCATACTGAGTTGGCTGACCTTCAAGTCTTCAGTCTACTAAACAGCTGCTGCTGCTTTTGTTGAAAACTCTCCACACCATTTCTCCAAAGCACTAAAAAAAATGTGACTAGAGAGCATCTCTGCAATCACTGCTTTAATTCTCTGGTTCATTTCACACCTTTGGCTTTCTGCTAGGACCGCCAACAATGTTGCCAATTAATGCCAATTTGTTTGGAACACCTGTCCATTAAAAAATGGATTGAACACAAAAATCTCATTTTCCACAGAATACTGAACAAGACTCAGGTTGTAATGACACATAATCACTACCCACCTGGGACAGCTGTGTCCTGTTGACCTGGAGGAGGGTCTGATTCTGTATCCTATTAGCAATCATTGACCTATGAAGGACAATGTAGGCAACTGCTTTGTTACTTTTTCAAACAACTATCTGTCAACTCAATATGAGGCAACTAAAAAGTCTTCCCAGAAGTAGGATGAGTCCAGAAAGTCCTCCACTAAGAGGGAGACCTAATCAGACATGTCTCTAGAATTAAGTTTACACTAAGAATATAGGAAGGCAGGCAAAAGATCACAGCTGGCTGGGACTGTCAATTTTTCATCATTTTGTGGCATATGATTAGTGGAGTTTGGGAAACTCAGTTATTTTACAACTGTCACTGATTCTAAATCTCTGCAAGAAAAATGTCATATCCTCACAAAGAAGTGTTTCTGAATCCTCGTTAGTAATTTAATTTGCAATTACTGCTAGGGAAACACCTTGAGGGCAGCCACAGTGATATTTCAGGGTGACCCATCACTCTTGTTAAAACATAGGCTTCATTCAAGCTGAAGCTGGGTTAATTCACTTCTGGAGTCAGAAATACTCAGGGTCATATCACTCAGCATGATT